GAGACAGGGATAAAGGGAAGATAAGAGTAGAAGATGACCACCAAGAATATGGAAATTAGGGCAGAGTGACATGGAAAGAAGCAGGAGGCACAGAAATTCCAACTCTTACTGTGGAGAATGTGCAAAAGTAGACCGAGTTCCTAACTTTGAGTTAAGAAGAGATGTGGAAAAGAAAAGCTCTCAGGATTTGTTGTAGAGAGGCAAATGAGACTGCACTCCTCCCTGTAAGTGCCGTAGGGGAACACCAGAAGATGTCCACCACAGAAAACAATGACATGCAAAATCTACATAGAGACACAGGTGCTTCGGGACTGAAGGGCTGGGCATATTACAGCAGTATCAGATAAGTATCCAAACTTGTAGGCACCTGGTTGAACTGCAAATCTTTCTGAGGTTCAGATTCTTTAATATAAGCACTAATGGGATTTTCTGGCAGAAAACTGATCCAAGAAACAAGGGTAAATATTGACAATTTGATAGTCAGTTCCATGGTAGACCAAGCTAATACTTAGTTGCCTATGGCCTTTGAAAAAGTATGATTATTTTTACATCGAAGTAGCACTAAGTAGAACTAAGTTTGTCTTTTCTGGGAGTCTCTGGTTCCCATGTTGGCAGTACACTGAGGAGAAATGTTCTCAGTCAGCATGCTGCATTTTGGCTGGGACTGGTTTACTGGTGATCAAAATGTGTCCTTTTAAAAACAATAATTAATTTTAGGTTTGGGTTTGGTTTTTTGTTTTTTTCTTTTTTATTTTGAATAAGTTTAAAAGTGCTTCAAAATGCTGCTTTTTTTATAGTATTCACAATTCTACAATGGGATTACAGTTTTGAAGTAACTGTAACTGTTACAAAAACCTATTATGTTAAGGAGTAAATCAGGAAAACTGATAAGGAAAAGCCCCTGGGTAAGATTAAACTGGATTTAACTTGTGAATATTTTTTTTTAATATTGGAAGCTGTCACTGGGTGGGCTGTTATTTGCTTTCCTATCATAGTTAAGTTTACTCATCAATAAGTCCCTAGGTCCTTTAAAAATTGGGTGCTTTCAGATATTAATTTCTTTAGAGACCCTTAAAGCCATTGACCTCTTTTTTTGCCAGCAGCAGCAACTGAGAATTAAAGCTGAAGAAATTCTTCTGTTATTTGGAGATCATTGACCAGGCTGTGTAACTGCCTTGGTCTGCCGATAAACTATGCATGAAGACACTCGTGTTTCCACTTGGGCTTTGGGTAGAAGTGGAGAATCGTACAGTCTGCATGGTAAACCTGAGCAAGAAGCCTTATAGAAGAGAAGCATGGGTGGTAAGGAATAATTAGGCCGACCTTGTAAAAATTTTAATTGAAAGCTGCAACACTATTATTCTGGGAGCCAGGAAATGTGGGTGATGGAATTTATGGAGCTACAACTACCAAAAGGCAATACAGTGAGCATAACTGTTAGGCATAGTAAACTTTTCTCTAACCTTTTCAGATTCTCATATTATTTTGATTAGGAATATCATCTGAATGATATTATTCATGAATATTATTTGAAGAGCCTGCTATTTTTTATTTTAGTTGGGGCTTAAAAAGAATCAGTGTGTTAGCAAAATTCCAGATAGGAAGCTGCATTATGCATAACTTGTGTGTGTTATACAATGCACAGAAGGAGATCATGGATTGGTAAAATGTGATATAAAGGCTTTACCAGCACATATGCGATATTTGCTACATAAGCTATACGTGGCAAAGCCATAGAAGTATGAAATCATCCCAAACTATGCAGTCCAGAAATACAATCCCTATGCTGCCCTATCAATTCTTCTGCTGCACTATCAATTGTTCTCTATACCCCATGCATTAGAAGTGTTTTCCAGAAAGTTTACAGAGGTTGAAGACTTTATGGATGACTGGAAACAACTACACTGAAAACTGGAACAAGGAATAAAAGAAGAAGAAGAGATGGGAACAGTACAGACTGGTAGGGACAGGACAGAAGGGATCTCAGCTTGGGATACAGGCAAAAAAAAAGTGTATACATTTCTCTCTACAGCCTGGTGCAGGAGCCAAGGTTACTGATTCTCACTACTCTTCCGCTGTCGGCAAATATGTATGAAAAAACCCAGCAACGTTCCCCACCTCCTCCTGGTGCCAGTCCATGCAGAGCGTTATACCTTTTACTGCTGTTTGCTACCACAGTAGTTCAGGTGACCTATATACTGGCTATCAAAAGTTCCACTGGTGGCTGGTGGCCTGACAGAGAGCCAGTAGAATCCCACATTATGGAACTTCTGCTTCTTTTCAGCTTGCTCTTTTTAAAAGCATGGAAATTATACCCCCAAACCTCACACACAGAAATATAGCAGATGTAAACGAAGTACTTCACAGTTTAAAAAAATTCCAAAATCAAAATCGCTTATGTAGCTTTGGTTTAGCTGTTTTGTGCATAAGCATTATCATTTACATGATCATATCTTCTTCCATCTTAGGCAGAGAACAAGAGCATAAATGAAGGCTGTAGAAAGGATGCTGCTATCCACGGGACTCCTACTTTCCTGCTTTTGAATACATGTGAGCAATACAAAGATGCTTTATTTCTCTCTGTACCAACTTCAAGAGGATGGCTAAGAGGTAGAGAACAATAAAAATATAAATGTGATGGAGGCAGGAGACGGGCTGATTAGACAAGGAGCTTGAGACAGAGAGCAATGTAGAAAAAATGATGAAGGAAAACAGGACAGAGTGAATGGACCGAGTGGAAGCTAGGAGTGATCAGAGGGGAGGAGAAAGGATAGCCCCCTTGCTGTTCTGGATCACTGGACTCTCCTGCTTTTTCTGTAGAGTTCACTCCTTTTCACAAATGGTCGATCACTCATCATGTAGAACTGCTGAATGCCCACAGCTCCAAGCAAATTCAGTGGGTACTTGGCTTTGAACATACACAGTTCTCTATAATGCGAGAACTCAGACAGAATCCTAGAAGTCTCAAACTGAGCAATCAAAATTATATGCTGAAGTTTTATGGCTTTAAAATGGGGGTAATACCAAGCCTGACTTATTTCAGTGTAGGTGAAAATAAATTAATTCATTTATAACCAATATAAGTTAATTAGGAAAGACTCTGATGCAATGGTAGTGACAAATATGTGAGTGAATTAGTAGTTACATCCTGAGAGTATAGTCTGAGAAAAGTGCAGTGAAGAGCAGACAGGGCCACGCATGGGATAATGAGAAAAAAAGAAGAAATTCATTAGCTGCTTATACAGTGATTGCTGTCTGCCCTGTGCAATAAATTACTTTGTTATCCTATGGAAAAATATGTGATCAGAAAACGAAGGATTGCCTTGTACTGAAAAAGCAAAAGAGAACTGAGTTAAATTAGCCTGCTTAAAATTCTGGCATCTCCTAACTTTGGAAGTCACTTAGAGTTTTTATGTGCTCAGTAGGTATTATGATAGCTGCTAAATAAATTTTAAGTAAATAATAGATACTAAACCTAAAAATGTAACTTTAAATGTGACTTAATCTTGTTTTCTTTGCTTAGGCAAAACTTGAAATAGGTAGAGAGAATGGCATGAGACAGCTTAAGTGATTTTTTTTTTTCCTCCTGCTCCCTCTTAGGTAGGCTTGACTGCAGATGCTTGAGAGAGGCAGAGGAGATGGGGTAATTCAGGAATACTTTCCTAACAGAAGTGGAAACTTTATAAAGGGTTAGAGCAGCAAAGTATGTGCTTAAAGTATTATTCATGCTGCCCCAAGAGTCTTGTCCGTGCTTTGTTTATGTAATTGCATTTCCTCAAACATCTACCACTTGACCCTCCCCAACCCCAAATCCAGATCCAAATCTGAGTTTCTCTGGGGCTATGTGCCCATGTCTTACTTTGCTTGTACTTACATGCTTTCCCTGAACTCATTTACATCCCTTCCCCTTGCATATCACACAGCCTTCTAGCAGCAGATACCAGCATGATCTAAACTGATAGTTTCAAAACGTTATTTTTGATTGGGTGGGAAATAAATTGTGAATTTTGTACCTATCGTTGGCATCTAGTCACTAGGTTAGCTAAGACTAGAGAGCAACCTTACTTCAGCAGCTTTCTCATGCTTGTTTTCTTATTTTTCCCATGCTTTACATCAAGGCTTGTTTTTTTCATCAGGGTATGTACTGAACTGAAGAAATGCTATTTAAGGCACTCATGTATGGTAAAGACAGAATATTGCTTAGCATGGCAGCATACGCTATCCATTCATACTTTCCCTGCCCGATTTTCCTTGTTACTTGTGAACACCTTTCCACGTTAGCCATAGTACCAACTCAGGAGTACCACTGTCTCACAGCACTAACAAATGCTATAGTTCTTCCACATACGGAGTTGCAGTAGAGCACATGGTGCAGGAAGACAGATCAAAGCTAAGTCTCACAATTCTCTAACTTTCATTGCTCACGATTGTCACTCCAAAGAACTGAAAGGAACTGTAAATAATGCATTTTAAGTAGGGGAATAACTAAGTAAACACTAAAAAACATAGTCAAATAAGAAAATGCATTAAGCTGATAACAGTGATACCAACCTGGGGAAAATTATGCAAGCATTAGGGATAAACAAATTGTTTTCTCTTCCTTCCGATCTATGTCTGAGAAACTACAGCACTTTACTGGTTGTGTGATCAGAAATATTTCATCAGTCCAAACACATGCGAATTTTCTGTTCTAACTAGCAAACTCAAGTGTTCAGAAAAAAAATGAATTGGAATTGAAACATTTAGATGAAATTCCAGAAGTTCTGACTTGTGTCCATCCCTATCACCTGATGAATACACAAAAGGAAACACTACATCAACAGATTTATGTATAGAGCCAGCCTGTATGGAATTTCTAGAGATTTCAACACATGTTCCAAGCAGAATCAGCCCCTTCTGCAGCAGCTCTCCAGACACTGTTTCTAATTTCTGATACAACTATACAGAAATTGCAGTCAAATAAATATTTATAAAGAAAATATTTGTTCTTTATATCTTACTTGAGTTCTTGTGAGCTTGTGGCCAGCATACTTCGAATACTTTTGTCAGCCAAGGGACAGCCAGATAAACTGTAAGACATGGCAGGACAAACAAGTAAGTTAATCTTCTTATTAACTGAACATTCCCAAACAAACACAACATAAAAATTAGAAAGTAAAAGTTTGTAATGCAGAAAAGCGATGGGGCAAGTGCTGTAATATTGAATTTTGTAATATAGTTAACCCTCTGAATATATTTAGGTATCAACATTACTTCCAAAATTACATACTGTAAATGTTCTTTGTTTGTTTGTTTGTTTCTCTGTGAACTAGTAAAATGTAACAAAAAATATTTGAGATTCCTGGGTTAACTACTTAAATGCTTAAGAATACTTTGGAAATTTTAGTAATCTATTTAAAAATAAAAGACGTTTATACAACACACAAATTAGCATGCTTTTAAGATCAACATATATTACTCAAAGGGTTAACACATAGTTCAACGTTTTACTTTGACAGCATTGTTGAGGTAAGCTGAAAACAATAAATTGAAAAGACAGAATCCACCATGAAAAAAATGAAGTCACACCTTCTATGTGAGGCGTAATTACCAGTCACATGACCACTCCCATCACACCCTGGTGTTGGACATCTGCCACCAAACAAAAACAAAAACAGCCAAAATAGTAAGTATGTTTAAAAAAAAAAACTTTTAAAAGTTTCATTGTTTCCAGTTTAGCTGCAATGACTGCAAGGGGTTTTAAGCATCCTAATCGAAAAGCTGCAAAATGAACAGGTTTAAATGAAAATGGCGTCTCAATACAATATAGCATCATTAAGAACAAGCAAATACACGTTAGCTTATCACTTTACTTAACTGGCAGTTTGAAACATTTATATGCTGCAAATGTTGCATGCTCATACTGCAAGGCGTATATGTACTCGTTTGTTTAAAAAAAGACAAAGAGAGAAAAGGTTAAAAGGAGAAAAATAATTTCACCTCACATTATGCTTACGTTATTAAATCCTTTTTGCTCTCTTTGCATTGAGGGTATTTGGGTTTAGGACTTGGGATTGTAACTTCACCGGGATACCTTCTTTCTTCTAGCGCCTCTTGGAAAGGATCCAAATCTTCTGGCTACAGGCAAATATGTAAGCATTAGTTTCAGCTAGGGGAGGTTACAATTTACACAAAATGAGGTAAAGCAGAGTCATCAGACGCTATCTGCTTTTTTATTCTATTCTGCCAGAGAAGATTAATGAAATTATTTTATATTCCTTCACTTATTAGACCTTTAAATAATACTTGGGTATTTGAAGAAAGACCTCACAGTATGTGGAATATATATAGTTATTTAATTAAGATAGAAAAAAGGGGGCAAAACACGGCTTTTCCTATAGCTGTCATATTATTTTGCTTTAAAAGAATCAGTATTTTTTTCTAAAGTCACCAAAAAACAGAGGCAAGGGAAAAAAGATGACTAAATACAGTATCTTATGCATGAAAAAGCCATCTTAAATAACATTTTAACTGTTTAGAACATCTCAAAGATTAAACAAGAGCAATCTCAACATCTACACTCAGAATCTCAATCTGGGACAAACCTCAATGAATCTGTCTGGCAAAATATAATAATATAATTTATAATTAACTGTACTGATGCATTCAGAAATTCAAAGTTCTCTATTTCAGGAATGAAGTGGACAAATGTATTGATTTAGCAATTCCTGCAGATGGTGCTGCGAACACCATGGAAAAAATAGGGAGTTCTGCTTACTCTGAAAAAAAACATGCTATGCTGCCTGGTTTACCTCACATTTCCTTGGTAGTGACAGGTTCCCTCCTAACTGCAGTGAAATTAGTAGCAAAACTGTAATTAACACCAGAGCTAGAATGTGTTCAGTGTATCTAGTGAAAATGCCACTTTGTTATATGTTTTGAAGTTCCTGAAAATAGTTTCATATTTTAATTAAAATTGGCAAGAGATGTGCTACACAGAAATGATTAGCCTAATTTTCTGTTATAAACCAAGAAAAAACCCAGAGAACAATCTCTGGAATTCTCCAAATGGCTAAACTGCATCCAGTGCAGCATTGTAAACTACACGGTGGATAAGGCTGAGACCTGATGAACAAAAGCAGTGACATTAAAACTTGTCATCAGACCTCCTCACTGTCCTGGCTGGTCTGAGTTTTGAAAAGTAAAATAAATGCACTAACAGCCTTTATTTGCCTCTTCTGTTTAAACGGTTTTGCTGTTGTCTTGGTATTATGAATTGAAAAGTAATACTTATTTCTAATACTCCTCTTTGTATTCTTGAAACAAAGTATTTCATTAATACAGGCCCTTTCACACACAGAGCTATCAGGAGTGTATAAGTAATCTAGAAGAAGATTAGCAGAAATAGTTGAAAGCTTACATTATACTCTGCTGCTTTTGTTTAAATTGATTTCTAAGTAATACATGCTTTCAAATACTCAGCACATCATTTATGGTTTTCAAATTCAGGAGAATATCTTGTCTTGAGAGCTGATTATCCCAGTATTGCACAGTTATGTCAACTTGCTTATACAGAGTAACGTAATCTGGATATAGCAGAACATCTTCACTGCAGAAAATATTTGTTAACAAGATGATGCTGTTAGAAAACATGATTCACATTCATGGTTCAAATGTTGTCTCAGGGAACTTAGTCACAGATCAGATGTGTCCCAGTATGATACAGTCCTAAAGATTAACCAACAGAAAGTCCTTTTTG